AGCAACTCCGTCAACATTCTTTTTGGAGCCACAAACATGATTGTGGATCATGAGCTAACTCCCATCACCACCTCCTTGTATGGCTTCACCAGAGACAGTATCACTCTAGGGGAAAAATAACACTTGCGTTTGAAATGGGGAAGTCACCCTAAACAAGTTTGAACTTTATGGAAGAGGTGGCTGAGGCTCCAATGCCTTAGTAAGAGGTACTTCAACTACAGCTTGAGTGAAGTTTCTTCCTCAAGAGTTGCCTCTTGGTCCGCTTCTCCTTTAGTTGCCACCTTAGCTGGGGTTTGAGGCATTTCATCCAAATATACTATCCTCAGTCAGTTGTGTTCAGTTCTGGAAAAAGTTTCTCTACTTGCTCTACTACTTCGGCATAGCCAAACCTTCTCTAGTAGGTGCTGAAGCTTTGATTCTCTTTTGTAAGGTGAAAGTTAGTAATGTAGCCCTTCACCATTACTTCACCCACCAGTTGAGCCTCAGTCTTGGCCTTACCCCCTTCTCCAAATAATGCTTTATTTGGTGCTCATAGAATTTATTCAAATCCTCAAGCCTAACAAGCTCTAACTTAGCCTTCTCTAAGGCCTCCAAAACAAGCCTCTGGTGATTGTTTGAGATCTCTACCTTCTTCGTTAAAAAGGCGACCTCGCACTGAGATTCATGTACCACTCTCTTAAGATCTTCAATTTAAACCAAGGCAAATTCCAGCTTCGCCATGTCTTCAGCTCCCTGGGCCCTCATTGCTTCAACTTCAGTCTTTATTCTTTTTATTTCCTTCTTGGCAACTGCCAACTTATCTATTGAAGCTTTATTCCTTGTCCAAATGTCAGTTAGAGCTTCCTGACATTCAAGGGCCATCCCTAAAGGCCTTGGACATATAAGGTTGCCACTGTGAGTTTCACCACGTCACATGTGGACCTATAAGATTGCCACTCTCAATCCAAAATTTGTAAAAGTTGGCAGTCGCACCACGGACTTCTTGAGGTAACATCTCTATTATTGTATGTGCAATTTCTTCATCTTGTACCGCTAAAAACCTCATGGACTTTTTCGGGGTCCTTGCAATTGAGCCTTCTTTATGGCCTTCGAGGCCCGCCGCTCTTTCTTTTTAGCCTTTTCATTGGCCCTTCTCATTGTCTCAACTTTTGTAGCCTTTATTGAAGCCTCCATAAGCTTCAGAGGGGGAGATGTAGCAGCATGGGCAATTGTAGTGCCAAATTTTTCTGATGTGTAGCTGCTATGGGACAATTTTCTCTTCTTTTGAGGCTCTTCGACCTTTCCCTTTCCAATGTCAACTCTTTCTTTGGCCTGATCCACCTGGGGGGCCACTTCATCTCCATCCCTTTCAGTGTGGTCTTTGCGAGGTTATTCAATTTACCTTTGATAAATTTAGTGTACTATTAAAATATATAACGAATAAAAGATGAAGCTCAGTACTTATCCATAAATGCCATCAATCCAAAGTCCAGAAAATATCAGCTTTAGTCAATTAAATGGTCGAAGTGCCTTAACTGCGGAGAACGTTTGTAGATGTCCTCAATGACGTCCCATTCCACTTCGTGTAGTTTGAAGCGCAACCTTAAATATGCAAAAACAAGAAAGAAATGTTAGTCAAAGTTATGGAAGAAAAAGACAAAGATGTAAAGAAATTGACTTACGTGCTTTGGAGTATTGGGTTGGTACGGTGCAAGCTAGGGCATGACTCCTTCAACCATTTACCACCTACCCCTTACCCAAAATCATGACTCCTTCTAGCCTTTGATAGAGGAGGGGGTGCCTACAACAAGATGAGCATGAGTCCTCCAAATGGTGATGTAGTACTACCTCTTTGACTCGTCTTTCCCCAATAGCTGAAGCTGGAATAGTATTTGAAAGACATGCAGCGGCATTTTCTCACCTATGGAAAACTCCTTCTAGAGGAAGTAGGCACCAACTAATTGACTCCACCCATTTGGTAGGATCTGGGTCGGAGCAAGCATGAAGCTCCTCAACACTATCTTAAAGAAGGGGTATATCTTTAAACAGAAATTCACTAACGGCAACTCGTCCCGACCTCGAATAGCAGGTGCGTTCGTGGCCCTCGGGTGCTAGGAGTTCTATATAACTTAGGATACAATATTTGTTCCTAAGTTTTAAGGAACTTATAACAGAAGGAATCTTGGTTGCCTCTCACCCTATCTCGTAATCTACAGGACCTTCACTCATTGCCTAGATATCCCCTTTCAACTCCCTAGGACAGGCCTCATTGCAATACCTAGCAATGGTAACTTTGCCCCTGTTACTAGAACTAGAAGCCATGGAAAATTGTGAAGATGTTGGAAGCAAAAAGAATAGGAAGAATAAATCTAAAACTGTTAACTAAGTAAAACAAACGATCTAAAAGTGAATTGTTGAGCCGAAAAGTTTGAATGTGGAGAGAAAATTTAAGGATTTTTGCGAAAGTAAATGTATAACAATAGCAATTTTAGCCTTTTCTACCAAACAGGAGACAAACCCCAGCCGAAGCCCTTATGATCTGAAGCGTCCAATTTTCAGCCAAATCTAAGGCGTTGAATTCAAACAGTCTTTTTAATGGACCCTCAGATTAATGCGTGATTCCCACGCACAGTCCCAATGCGTTTGCTTTGGATTACAAAGATATTGACATCATTGTGTGTTTAATATAACAGTTGTACGCATATGGAAAATCGTAACGCCTCTGCTGCTTTTTCTTGATAACATGCAAAAACATCAAATCATTGGCACCACTATCGAGGGCTATCATTAAAATAAAGGAGTCTCGACAGTTCAGCTCTCTTCTTGCCTTGGCTTAGAAAATTAATTTCAGCTATTTCAAAACTAAATAAGCTTCGACGGTTCAGTAAGAATATGCCTCGGCTCAAAGCAAATTTCAGATACTTCCACAACATTCAAGAATAGAACTTCAAACTCATTGCGTTAGGTGATAAATTTTTATTCTATTCACATAACAAAATCGTCTATTATTATTTAATTTCCACGTATTTTTGAAGTACACGGATGATATACATAAACTATACATGAATTTGGGGGGAATATTGTTACTCCTCGCCACACGTGGATCTACGTCATCGGGGCCCTCTTGTCCACATGGCCTACTATCGAGGTCCTTCGTCAACCCATCGACCCACTGAAGTATTGGAACCACTTGGACTAAGCTTTCCATGCAAGTGACAAGGCCTGCAAAATTAATTCGAAGCCTATTCGTGTCTCTTTTGCTAAAGCATAGGTTCTGAGGTGAGAAGGTTCCGTGAAGTCCAAGACTTACTACATGATAAGAGTGTAAAATATGATATTTTCCCCTCTTAATTGTTGCATTCGTGTGATTATTTGATACCAAAATGTACTCATTATACTTATATTTTGATTCATATTACATTTTGGAAGAAAAGGTGGAAGTTAAAAGAAAAGGCGAAAAATGATCAAAGTGGAAGAAAATGAAAGTTCGGAGATTAAAGTGCAAATATCCCAAACTTGTGTCTAACCTTATGATGAAGGTTTGAGAGTGTTAGAGGTCAAGCGGATGAGGAAAGAAGTCAAAGGGATGAAATATCATCAAAATATGATCACACATTAATTCTCAATTGAAAAAGTTACTCACCAATTTTTAGTCTCATATTGGGACCCCTTTTTTATAGGACAAACGATTGAATTAGAAGATGATATCTGAAGAAAGGTTGTAACCCTCTGAGTTAGTTTTCCAACACAATTTGAATGATCTCAATCGGACATTGGGAGAAAAAGTTATGGTCAAAATACTAAAAATTGTCCTACCGAGAAAATAGGTCAAAAACTATGAGTTCACATAGTTCAAAAACCATGCGGTCGCATAGAAGGCTCCAGGGAACTTCAAGATTGAAAATATTTTTTCTATGCTATTGCAACACTTAATACTATGCGGTCGCATAGAACACTTTCGAGGCGCGAAATTTTGTTTCCTATTTTCACTCAAACACTTATGGTGACCTAATTTTCCACGACTTTAAGCCAAGAATCATCCGAGAACGCGGTGATTGATCCTCGTATCAATTTTCTTTGATTTTTTGCTCAAGAAATCAATGGAGAACTAAATTCTTTGGTAAAGTCACGAAGGATCTTGATCAGATTTGGGGGTTTCAACGTCGTTTCATTCATGTAATGTGATTTTTATTGTTAAATAATTCTAGGATTTAGCTTTCATCTTTATATTACACTTTTGAGGTTTGCTTAACTTTTATTAAATTTATATTGGATTCAATCATTCTTTTTTCTATCAATTGATTACAATATTTGTCGAGTTTAAATTGTTTCAATAATTTATGAACGTGATTTGATTACTACTTTATGCTAAGGTATATTGTTGTTGTTTTTAATCTTGTTTCAATAAATCAAGCCGAATTTGTTTTTAGAAAGTCTAAATTCTAGGATTACAAGTTAAACAAATTGATCTAGGTTTCTCCTTAATAAATTGATTTTGAAATTGATTTAACTTTTATTAGATTGGTTATAGATTCAGTCATACTTTTTCTATTGATTGATCAAAATAATTGTTGAGTTTCAATTTCATTTATGTCATTAGTGGATTAATTACTTCCTTACGCTTGATGTATATGGATGTTTCTTAATCTTATTTTAATGAACAAATGTGAGAATATGTTATATAAAGCCTAGATTTTTTGAGTAAAATGCATGAATGATTGATGTTGATTAAGCCAATCCAAGAGAGTGAATTCTGATGCTTTACTAATCTCATACTTTGTTAATTAAATTTCATTCAAATTGATAAATTCCCCTCACAACCACGAAAACCCTAGTTTGTTAATCCTTTAAACAATTCGTCCATCTTTCTGTGGAATTGACACACCAAAGCTGTGTTACAATTACCGCGTTATTCTTTGAACGTAATCACTACAGTCAGCGCTAACCTACACGAGGAAGATCTTGGACTTATGTACAAAATCTTTTTGGAATGATTGATGGGATAACTGCAATGAGTATAAATGTCAGGTCTTGTCAATAAAATGATGGCTTTATGTAAGCATTGAGTGTACCATAGGCTAGCAGGTCAAAATTGATACCTATAATTAGATGCGTGGATTAAGAGATGAGGCCACGTCTATTTTCATCCAAGGGGCCACCATTTTATTTGTAATGCTATAAATACCCTCATGTAACGTTTAAGGGTAGTTTAACTTTAGATACTAAAGCCACTCCTTGTTTTCTCTCTTACCGGTTTTACTCTAACTTTGCACTGAGTTAACATTATTTCACTTTGACCGAGTTGTTTGCGATTGGTTATCATAATAAAATTGTTTCACGAAACTATCATTGGAATCCAAACACATTTGTCTCACGTCGTTGAGCTTCTCTCACGTTCATATTTTTGGAGTATTGTCGATTAGCAACCCGTCTTCATGTTTCGGAATTTTGACATTCGGTCTCGTCTAATGTCTAAATATGTTAATTATTTTATTGTTATTATCATTTTTTGCAAATGCCCGTCTTTTAAGGTGTACTTAGCAGAAAAAAATATGTGATAACTTTTACTAAAAGACCCACTAAAGTCGAATAAAAAGAGAGCACGCAGAAAACATGTTTGGTTGGTGGTGGATTTTCTTGCATAATTTATCCCATTTTCTAATGATTTATTGGGTTTGATGTAATCAATATATTCCCACTCCACTTATAAATATTCTCCTCAAACATGTATTCATCACATTAATATTTCACAAAGACAAGTTCGACACATGACAATGATTTGGTCCATCCAAAAAACAACGATTGGACTAATCCTTGTTTTCGTGACATTTACGACTCAAATTTCAGCTCAATCGCACTGTTATATTTCATCTTATGTTCAGAACCTCGCTCCGAATATAAATCATTGTATCAGTTGCAATAGGAGTCCGTCTCCGCCGTGTGTGCATAAGCTAAGCCGACCACCACCACCTCAACGAAAATGGTTGCACAGACCACCACCTCCGCCTCTTGCGAGGCTCTATTTCTACTCTCCTCCACCTCCTAGTTTGTCATACTTGCCTAACCTTCCACCACATTCAGCCTTGCCACGACCGCCACCACTTCAACGAATAAGGTTGCACAGACCACCACCTCCGCCTCTTGCAAGGTCCATCTTCTACTCTCCTCCACCTCCTAGTCTGTCATACTTACCTAACCATCCACCACATGTAGCCTTGTCACGACCACCACCACCTCAACAAATAAGGTTGCATAGACCACCACCTCCCCCCCTTGCGAGGTCCTACTTCAACTCTCCTCCACCTCCTAGTCTGTCATACTTGCCTAACCATCCACCACATTTAGCCTTGTCACAACCACCCCCACCTCAACGAATAAGTTTGCACAGACCACCACCTCCGCCTCTTGCGAGGTCCATCTTCTACTCTCCTCCACCTCCTAGACTGTCATACCTGCCTAACCATCCACCACATGTAGCCTTGTCACTACCACCACCACCTCAACGAATAAGTTTGCACAGACCACCACCTCCGCCTCCTGTTAGGTTCTCCTTCTACTCTCCTCCACCTCCTAGTTCGTCATACTTGCCTAACCATCCACCTCATGTAGCCTTGTCACGACCACCACCTCCGCCTCTTGCAAGGTCCATCTTCTACTCTCCTCCACCTTCTAGTCTGTCATCCTTGCCTAACCATCCACCACATGTAGCCTTGTCACGACCATATCCGCCTCCTGCATGGTCCTATTTTCACTCTCCTCCGCCTCCTAGTTCGCCGACCTTCCCTAACCATCCACCTCATGCACCCTTGTCGCGACCTCCAAACATCGTCTCCGGTGAGATGAAAGAGTCGATCATGGCATACTAGTGAACAAAATTGGCAGCATTATCTCCCATCAGCAAAAGCTAATAAGGGAGCCACTTTGATTGCATTACAGGTTGAGACATGACAAAAATAAAATGCCATAATGCTTGTTTTATAGTTTAAGTTTGGTTTCTTCTTTCTTTTGGCAATAGTTATATTGCAGTTCGGCTGGTTGCAAGGTAATTCTATGGGCCGGCAGAAAGAACAGGAAATGTTTCTTTTTTTTCTTTTTTTGTTCGAAGGACGTGATTTTTGTTGAAGCAACATTTTAGTTTGAGAAGGATTGTTGTGTTTTGAATGAGAATCTCTTCTGATGTTTCATTTTTCTTGCCTACTGAAAGAGAATATGGTTACTTTCGTTCACCATCTGATATTGCTTAAGTTAATAATTTGAAGTAAATTTTAGGAAGAAACAAGAGTTTTGCAACACGAACATAGGGGATGACCGAACAAACACACATGGAGGTTGGTATTTTTTAATTCACATGGGACCCACTCACCCACACTCAAATGAGGGTCAATCAATCAAGGTGTCTACAGTCCAAATTTAATTATGAAATCGTTCGGGTTCAGTTGAATTCGATTTCATTTGGTTCCAGAGTTCTATATAATAATTAAATTTTTTAATATTTACAATGCTACATTAATTCAACTAATCATATGTTTAATTTTATCTCTTACAAAATAATGTAGTTCAATCTATGCATTTTTTGGCGTCTCTTTATTGAGTTATTCATGGATTTTTGATTGTTAAAATTATTGAAAAAGAAAGATAATGTGTTCACAATAATGAAAAAAGGCATAGTCGAGCTTTCAATTCGATTTCTCCAGAACTGTAGAAACAACATTACGATAAAATTATAGATTTGGGTAAAATTTAAGTCAACTTGATTCAATTGGATTTAGACTGAAAATTAGAAATAGAAAATCACATTTTGAGTTTGGGCTAAATCAATTAATTAACAAATTTATTAGCAAAAAAAAATTTGGCTTATTTAAGATAAATAAATTAAAAAATAAGGAAAATTCAATTCTTTTCTTAGTCTAGAACTTGGAACCAAACTCATCGATTCTCGATTCAGATACCCGTTCAAGTATTTAACTAAAAAAGAACAGTCAAATTCGATTAAATTTGAGTCAGGTCCGATTTAGTCCGATTCAATTCGGGAGTTTTGTCCAGTCCGAGTTATTGTAGCTCAGCTAGTTGCTACATAATTCTATGGGCTGGGATAAAAATAGGAAATGCGATTATTCCCTTTTTTGAATGAAGGAAATGTGATTTTTGGTGAAGCAGCATTCTAATTTGAGAAAAAATTACTCAAAAATTTTCATTTACAATAGTGACGACGTACTAATAGAATGTATTGAACAAAGAAATACATGCTAGCGAAGTTAATACGATGTAATGTATTTACTAATATTTGACCTCATTGATTTTTGTAATAGATTAAATATAATTTTTGCTGGTTAATTTAGGCCTTGAGAAGCATTGTGAATGAAAATCTCTTCTGCACTTCAATTCTCTTGCCTGCGGAAAGAAAATGTGGTTAAATATTAAGAGTAAAAATAATCTGAAGTAAATTAAGTAAAAAATTTTGCTTGAATTCGTACATATCTAACTGATCTCCCGTATAGCCCTGTCCTGATGTGTAAATGAACATTTATTAGCTTCTAAAATATATTTTAAGTCATGACCCAATCCCCGTTAGTCCTTATATGTGACTCCAATGCTGACCCGTGCCTTGTAGTTCAACAGTTTTAGTTAAAGAAATTTTTCTTACTATCCTTTTGGATTTTAGTTATTTCATTTTAATTTATGGTGAAAAGGTTTTTGAGGTAATTTTTTAGAACATCTCCAAAAAACTCTATTTATAAGGAGCATTTTATACAGAACAAATAGCACCTTTAAATTTAGAGAGTAACTTTTTGATACACTCCAACAAACTATCTATTTTGATTCTCTATTTTGTTTTTTTCAATGAGCATTTAATAATTTCTCCACATATTTTATTTAAATATAATTTTGTATAAATTAATGACCAATAATTCATGTGTAATTGAAAAATTTAAATTGTAGAGCATTGAAATTTGTAATGTATTAAATGTAATTATTATACATTAAGAATAGAGAGCATTTGTATAAATAATTTTTTTTCCCCTTTCCATAGCGATTGTGAGGATGACTAAAAAACCTGTTCAACCCCAATGCTTGTGGAGCTCATCCCAAATAGGCTAAGGATTACCTGTCCAATTGAGTAAACGATGTGGGGGCAGGGTGGGAGTTGGTGCCTCGAATCGGGTACGAGATGAGTATGGAAAATATGGTTGCTACCCTATTTCAATTTAATTTCAAATGTAAGTTTTTTATCATACAAAAAGAAAAGAGTTATCATCATTTTTAAAGAGAATGTGAGTTGTTCTTAATAAATTGGAAAAAAAGTAATAATATCCACTAACTCAAGAGAGAAAAAATAAAAACAGAAAATAAAACAATAAAAAAAATAAACAGGGTAGGGACCTGTCCGGAACCATCCCTATCTTGTCCGAAACCCATTCCGTCCCAATTTAATCGGGTATAGGACTGGACAAGATAACAAAAATACGAGGATGAGGATGGAAATGGCCAACCTGTCCAATACCGTCCCTTCCCATCCTTAAGCATTTGATGAAACTCAAAATGTCTCATAGGCCAAGGCATCAAATGCACAGGCCAATTGGGTCATCTCGCAGGTCTCTTAGTCTCTCTCCTATGACTCACATTCTAAAGGATCTAAAAAATGTTGAACCCCAACCTTAAGGGTCCCCCCACCGCCTCGCCCTTGGAGCATCGTGAGAGGTTAATTGCGGGATGTGCCCCAACAGGTCGGGGAATAAGAGCTACCTGTATACTGGTGCCAACAAAGAGTCCCAATCCATATTTCAGGAATTGAACTCTCACACTGCAGCTGCCAGTAACGCTGAGTATACCTCATCCTTGTCCTTTGCACCACTGAGATATGCCCTCCGATGAGGTCCACGGTGAGAAAAGCTTCGAATTTTCGGAGTTCAGCTGAAATCATTTTCTACCATTTTTTCCTCCTTAATCAAGGTTATGACAATGCGAACAAATTTTACTTTAAAACACCGGTGTGCAGAAAATTAACCTTAGAAAACTTCAGATGGTTGCATTATGGACTTATTTGCGGCATTTTAACCTTGTTAGTGGGGTTTGTTGGCATTTCCTTTTTGATGGGCTTATATGTTTAATTAACCAGATTGTTATATGAGCTATCAATTAAGTAGGATCAATTTAAGCGATCTAGTTATTGGGCTTTAGAAACATCTATTGGGTATGGGTTTCGTAATGTGTAGTTACTCATTACTAGATGAGTTAGGGTTGGACTCTAATTGAAACCTAGTGTATAAGGAACCTTAAGGGTTATGGTCCCTAATGCAAATCACGATTGTACATATATTCATTTCCATATGTGAGAGAGGACCCATTAAAGTACCGTGATTAGTTTGTGGAAGACACAAACTCAATTGATTCATCACTATGGATTCATGTATGTTTTCTCTTTTATATAATTCTTGATAATTTGATGTGAGATCGTTTGGCATGTATGATAGATTGAAATCATTTCATTATGATAGATTGAAATCATTTCATGTTAAGTTATTAGGAATGATCATGATAATTATGATATATGAATTTCTTGATAAATTATTATACATAATTTTGAATTGTTATTTGGCTACCCATATGGATACTTAGGGTTAAATATGAAATATGTATGATTTTTTTTCTTGTCTCAATTTTCTTGGTCACGATTGAAAGGGTTGTTTGAAGTTTTCAATTCATGGTACAAATTTTGGGATTTTAGTTTTCTCTTAAGTTGTAATTCATTGTAGAATTGCATGAGAAAATTTTAAGATGATCCCTTTTGTTGTATAGATATTTTGATTATGGATTCAATAAGACACTATTTTTTATAATTTATTTTGGAGATTTCCGCTCAAGAATGAAATTAAAAAAAAAAAAAAAAACACCAGCGTGTTTGTTACCGAGGTGCCATTTTCTGGTGAAATAAACTCCTGGATGCCACCCATTGGCACCTAGGCCCTACCTTTCAGATTGTATATATATTTGTGCGATTGTCTTATATCTTCAAATAAACTAATTGAAGCAATATATTACCATTGTAATTTCTATTGTGTATATATATTTATTTTGGGATATTAAGATGTATATATTATTTATTTGATCAATGATCGATCCAAAGAAAAGTTACTAATTGGCCAAATAATAACACACTTGTGGAGATAGATGTGTGATGATTGTTTAATTGCTGTGTGAACAATGAATTGGCCCAAATGAAGGTCATTGTTTGATAAGATTTATTGTCAGCGTTTGATTACTACATGAAGATTGAAGAGTATCACTTGCAATCTGATGTTTCCTTATTGCGTGCCAGGGAAATTAGTCACATGGAAAGAGAAGTAGGTGTTGATGTTTCCTCCGACTATGTTTCAGGTAGGCCACCGAGGCCTTGTGAGGCATGGAAGATAATTTCCCACCAGAATATGAACCAGAAAGCAGGCCTAGAAGGTCCAACAGTGTACTTAACATAATCAGTCCAGCAGAACCGATGTACAGACATCCTTAGCAACCTCCAGCGCCTTAGAGTAGGTCACAGCCCCCACTTCCTGGGACTTGGCAATAGGAGGAAAGGCAAGAACATGCCTATGTGTTGACCAGCCTAGGAACAAGCATTAAAGGAGGGACGAGGCGGCAGGGAATTGAGTAGGCCCATCCAATCTGTCACTAAGGTATCCAACTGATGATGATTCAGATAAACCCTAGCAATTTTGTGACTTGGATGATGATGATGAAAATTTACCTTTCTCACAAGAATTGAGAAATGCTCTAGTACCAAGCTACTATAAGTAGCTGAAAATATCCTAGTATGATAAGAAAGGCGACCCGGCTAAACATCTAAACAGCTACAAAACTCACATGAGCCTAAGAGATGTCACACTGGCTATGAAATATAGTGCCTTCCACCTGCCTTTGAGTGAAGCGGCAGGAATTTAGTATAGTAGGCTACCTCTTGGGAGTGCTGGGAGTTGGCCAGAGGTCAAAACCACATTCTTGAAAAGGTTTGTAGTGAGGAAAGAGGGAGAGGCTCCTGTTCAACGTCTCCAAGACACGAGACAATAACTTGGAGAAAGTTTGAAATGCTTTTTATCTCGGTTTATCGATGAGATGATGTATTGTGTGTAAATCGCTGATCGTGAGGCCTTATGGGCATTACGAGGAGGTTTGAATATGAACACCCTTTTTGGAAGGACGAAAATTAGGACCCAACCACGTACGACTCATTATTGGAAATAATGAGAAGGGAGATCATCAACAAGGAATTGATAGACCACAGAAACAGAGCTAGTAGAGGTCTTCAATTCAATAAAGACAATGTAGAAGCAGACTTACCTTTCACTTGATGGATCACCAGTAGAACTAGGCTGGTAGCGAAATTGCTCCCAACTCAGGACAGGCATTTACTACAATCACTTTGAATGCGGTGCCCATATTAACCTAAGAAGATGCCGCTCCCGGGACTAACATGCAACAAACAGGAACAAGGCAATAAGTCCCCTGAAGAGAAAGAAGCCGAGGGTGAGGTTCGGGACCTAGAGATAGCCCGAATATTGTACATACCATCATTCTTATAGCCATGATACTGTAAATTGTAGGGACATCTCCTGGAGCTTAGGCAAACGAGTCCTTGAGATGAATGAGGGAATGATTTCCTTCAAAAAAAAGGCCCCCGTCGAACTAGGATTAGCCTATAAGGCGTGAGGAGGTCACGTCCCACCGTTGGGAAGTGTTTCCTAAGTAGAGGCGAGAGCATGAAGACGAAAGATCGAAAGAGCAGCGATAGCGTAGGGGTTACCAGGCTAATGTGGAAGACGACCAAATCCATGATATTGACACCATCTTTGGGGGTCCCTATGTTGGAGGCGAAACAACAAATTCCTAAAGAAACTATGTTAGAGAAGCAAAAGGTCTTCCATTGACTAGCTGCGTATTGGATGGTAGTTCCAAAAGAAGTTAAGTACCGTTAATTGTATTCACCCAGAAAGACGTAGAGGGTATCCACTTCCCTCGTTATGATGCCTTTGTGGTAAGGGTTATGGTGGCCCGAAAAGGACTAAAGCGGATGCTAGTGGATAATAACAACTCCGTCAACATTCTTTTTGGAGCTACAAACATAATTATGGATCATGAGCTAACTCCTATCACCACTTCCTTGTATGGCTTC